TCAGACACTCAGTGCAGGGCTACAGTCTTGAATCCCATGTCCTGTCAAAGTGCTGAGGTTTGTTGTCTGAGGCTCAGAGAGCCAGCCATAAGCTATCCTGCAATTTAAACCACATTTACTGATAAAAAAAATTAGTGAAGAAAATAATGTGTTCTAATTTGCTAGATTTTCTAGAGTCATTTAACAATTATGAGAATATATTGTGTATCTTTATAACAAATATAAACTGAAACTCTAATTAGAAGCAGAGAAGTGGCTTGAGAACAATCATACAATATAAACAATATTAACCACATTATCCTGTCTGTGGAATCTGAGACAATACATAATAAAAATTGTTAAATGTTAAAGAAGTATAACACTACTTGCAGAATTTCGGTCCAAAAGAAACAAGCTCACTACATGTTTTTCTGGAGGGAGAGCGAGATGGAGTGGGGTGGGATTTGTTTTTTTGTTTTGTTTGGGGGAAGGGTGCCTGGTTGCAATTAAATACAGGAAGGATATTAAAACTTCCAAGAGATTTTTTTCAAGCCACAACAGAAGAATAAGCACAGTTGCATAATTGGAACCAAATCCAAAACCCACTTCCTTCTTATTTACAAAAAATCATCTAACAGACACTATTTAGATGCTGATGCTAAGAGGTCCAGAGTTGACAACTGTAAATCATCTATGGGGGAAAAGTTTTCAAAAGAACCTTTTGTCAAAGGTTAAAAGTTTATAGTTGACAGGCAACAGAAAGTTAGTGCCCACTGTAAAAACTAGTAGTCAGCCTGCCTCTCTTCAATAAAGTCCTTGAATTTTGTTTTGTTGTGGGGAAAGAAATCTTCCCTATTTAATAATCAGCCAAATTCTGTTACAGCGTAATTTGGTGCAGACACAGAATCAGACATCTCTTTTTACTGGATGCTAAGTTAAAATGACATTTTATTTTACCGGCACACATTTATCATCTGTGCAAAGCAGAACTAAAATTCAAAAAAATATACAGTACTGTACTTCCTACTCATCATGCTATATCTCAGGTTTCGGGGGGGGGGATGTTCCATTAACAGATGCATTTCAGTTCAGTGTTGGCTTGTTATCACTGAAGATCTGTGCAGAAAGTTTAGTATTTAAGGTGATCGCTGAAAAAGGTGGACTTTTGCACGGCTTTAAGAATAAGATGTTAGGATAGTGATGGAAGCAAAAATGTTAGACCGTACAGTTGGGGGGGGGAGAGAATGGTTAAAACAACCAAAAGATTATTTTCAACACTTTCAAATTATTTTAGATATTTAAATACCTCTGATTCTTCATGTTCTTAGACAAAGATCCTATACATTTTATCTTGAATACAGGGAATGGAAGAAAAAAGGCAATACTGTGCTCTGAAAGATGTAGTTTAACTCTGCCTTTGACTTCATATCCTTAAATGCTGTTTGTGTTAAATGGAAGGGTAGATATTTTAAATAAGGCAAGGCTGAGGAATGGAAGAAGTATTATGAACAGGCTGTAACGTTAGCTGAATGCCAGAAAGTGTTACAGTTGGATGAAAACAGTTCTCCATAAAGGACATTGTTGCCATAACAACATTAGCAAGAGTGTACTTCAAGAATACATTTGGTTTACCATCAAGGAGAAGCTATCGCTCCCTTCACACTAGAAGAATTAACTAAATTCTAGCCTGACAAATTCTAGCCCGAGTCAATTTAGAATGAAATTTATCATTAATCTGTTTTGGGATTGCTATTTTAGGACTGAATTCTGAAGTCCTCTCAGACAATTTTCACATCTGAACTAGGGATGTAAGCAACTACTTGAGTAGTCAACTACCTGATAAGGTAGGCCTGCTGGTGTGCAGAGGGGTGGAGTGGAAGGGGAGGCAGAGCTGCAGTAGGGAACCTGGCATGAGCTGGGACTCAGCAGTTCCAGCTCATGCCAGGTCCCAGACCACTGCAGCTCTGCTTTTTAAATGTAATAAGAGCTGCTTGAGTGGTCTGGGACCCGGCATTAGTTGGGACTGCTGAGTCCCGACTCACACTGGGTCCCCTGCTGCAGCTTTGCCTTTTAAATATAGCAAGAGCCTGGCAGCCCTTACTACATTTAAAAAGCAGAGCCACAGTGATCAAGGACTCGGCGCAAGTCGGGACTGCTGTGTCCTGGCTTGTGCCAGCTCCTGGACCTCCCCCAACTGCCACTCTGCAATTTAAATGCTGTAGCGGCCGGGCTGCCTGCTCACCTGGCTCCTACTACATTTAAACTGCAGAGTCACAGCTTATCGATTAATTCTGTACTCAATACAAATTGTATCAAGTACAGGATTAGTCAGTTACCCACTTCTTAACATCCTTATTCTGAACCCAACTGAGCATTTGGCTGAGAAAGGGCCTATGGATTTGACCATTATTCAGGATAGAGTTACAAGGAAACAAATGCGATCTCTGAAATTTTCTACACTGCAATTAAATATCTCCTTAGCTGGAGCCCTGCTAGCCTCGAATCAGCCAGAATGTGCTAGCTGCCATTTTTTAATTACATTGTAGATATACCCTGAAATTATATTACTAACTCTGACTTTCAGGGTGATCCTGTGAAAGTAACTTAGAGCTGAATGCTCAAATGGAGTCAGGCTTCCAATTTCTATACTTGTTGATTGAAATTAGCACCCTAAATAGAAGTTAAAAGCCTAACTCCTTTTGAGCATTCATCCCTTAGTCTTTATGGAAGAAAAACTCCAGTGCTAAGACCCCACCATACTGAGTTGATTTCATTATCTGTGTTTTCCCATACATCACAGAGACATTAAAAACAATTAATCAAGCCTCAAAGTGCTTTGAGAGGCTCAGTTAAAGATGCCATTTAGGTGGCAGACAGAGGTTATTATTCAGTTAAAGATGCCATTTAGGTGGCAGACAGAGGTCCTGTAGTAATAATAGTCAACCAAAATAAATTAGTCATTTCTACCAAAATATAAACTAGGAAATTTGTTTATAGTTTCAATGTCATTATATAAAGGAAGTACTTGACCTAAGGCACAAACCCAATAAGAAAAGTAAATCTTCATCAACAAATTAAGAAAAACATTCTTTAATCTCGTACCTGAGATGACAATAGATTGCAGTCAACGTGCAGTCCCTTCCCAGTCTTGTATCTTCGAATCAGGCCAGCCATGATTGCTCCATACGTGTACAGCCCTGTGGCAAGGTCTGTCATGGCAACTCCTGGTCTAACTGGATCACCAGCCTAGCAGAAGAGAAAAAATGAGAATGGGGAAGAATTAACATCTTGTTATGATATATTCTATACATTCCATGCATTACAGAAACTTTCTATGAAGCTAAAATGTCTTCTGAGTGAACTACAGTGAAAAGCCTGAAAATGAAAAAATATACTTTCTTACAAGTATCTGCAGAACTGTTCCTAGCAATTCTGTAACATTACAAACAGTGGCAAACTGGGAAAAAGTTGTTGTGCTACTCTACCCTCTATTAACTTTATCAATTTCATTCAAAAGTTTCAACATATCTTTTAAAAATAAGAAATTATTACAGGAAAAATATTCTAAAGGAAAACAAAGTTTAATATACCTGAAAGACAAGGTACCATAGACTTGTTATACATGTTGGCAGTGGCACATGTCTGATTGAGGAGAAAGGAAACTGCCCTCCCCCGTGCCATGAGTTTTATTACTGCATCATAAGGTTTCATAGGTTTTTATAAAAGGTAACAATTTGAGACTTGCTTTGCATGAATATTTAATCCCCAACTCCTTTTTTAATTAACTATGCATAATGCTGATTATGGTTGAAGAATTTTTTGATCTTCCACCACATGCTTCAGGATTGTGCTAGAAATGCTCTTTCCTGACAAGGTTAATAGTGTCCTGAATACCTGTATTTCAAGCATGAAATTGTCTCTCACTAAGTCAATGGCAACATTCACACTGATTTCAACCAGACCAGACCAGACCAAGATTTCACCCCAGAAGTTTAAGATCACCAGATCCAATAATCTCTCACTTTGCTGCATTTTATTTTTGTTGTCTGAGCAAAGAGATTTTCCAACATCACAGACTAATTATAAATATCAGCTAGGGAATGAACAAGTCTAGCAACCAAAAAGATGAGAAAGATTTTATCAAGTCAACCATTACTCCAGAAGCTGCAGTACTTTTTACACTACGGAAGAAAAAAATGTAAAGGCTCAGATTATGATGTCATTACTTACAGAATAAGTGTATGTGGTGGCACTGAAATGAAGGCAACTACTCTTGGAGTAAGGACATCAGAATCTGGCCTCAAATCAGTACGAAAAAGGTAAGCATAAAAGGTTGCATCTCATTAAAAAAAAAAAAAAAGAGGAGTGTTCCGTTAAACAGCACACAGACAAGACACCTTTAAGCAATTCTGATAATTCCCCACTGTAGACCAGGGCTACTTGGAAATAACCTCCCTTATCATATATATATAGTAGCCCATTGTCTGTGCGTCTGTAACACTGACGTACACAGCCACGCCCCCTGGCCATGTACGGCAGCGCCCTGTTCCTCTTCCCCTCCCTCCCTGGCGGTTCGGCCAGCCCCATGGCCCCCCGGACATGCCTCCTCCGCCAGTGCTGCTTCCCTCCCCCCTTCCTCCAGGCCCCCCCATCATCCTCCCCT